GCAAGTTCACCTGCAGAATCAAGCCTGGTCAGGCTTCTGAACAAGAAGTGATCACAGCTACTTTCTGTTCCTTCTCCTCAAAGGAAATCTACCAGGTTAATGGCACCTGCATCCCATGTTATTAATTAATGAGGCACGTGGAGTTCTGATACATTAATTCATACCTGTGAATTGAGTTACTGAGAAATGGGCACTTTTCTTGCGCACTAAAAATTACTAGTTGAACATCTTACCCTCAAACAGGATTTTTTAGTGGTTTAAACAAACCTCTAAGGAATAGTTGAACGGGCAGAGAACTGTCAGGAGGAATCTGCCTGTGCAACATCAGTTAACAGAGATGAATTGGAGCAGGAGTGGTTTCTATCCAATTAAAGGTCTGAGGCTTTAAAAGGGCAAAACACTTCAGAGAGATGACATGATATTATTTCACTTTGAAATTCTCATGTATAACCACAGTTTCAAAACAGGGTGTTTTAAGGAGACCCTGGATGCTGCACAACAGGATCCCAGTGCCTGGACTGACACTGCTCTTAGCAAAGGGCTTTAGGATCCTTTAGGGCTGAGGTATTGCCACTTGCTCTGAAGCTTCAGTAAGTTAAATATAAAATTAAACCAATCTTTTTTAAAGATTAAATCCACAGTAAGTAACTATCACTTAATGCTTAAATTTTATTATTTCCATAAACTGTGCCTCATGGATCTACCTTGACAGAACTGAATTTCCTTGAGATGGATTTTTTTCACATCCACTGTTAATTTACATTTAAAACATCTTCCTGTAATGAAAGTACAGGCAAATATCACCAGCTCTGAACTGTGAGCAAACTGCCACAGCACTGACAAGATCACAGGTAATCAAACTGATTAAGGACTGTGATACCTACTTTGGTCATAGCCTGCATTTTATCTGCTCTTATCTATGTCAGAATAAAGTCAGGAGGATGTGTTTGTCTGCAGAACAATCACACCCTTGAAAAACACCTCTCCCAAATTCCACTCCTGTGGCTCACGTGCAGTTTAGAATAAAGCTCCCCCAGCTATAGCTGAAGCCACTTTTGTCTCAATGTACTGCCTAAGGAATAACACCAAGCCTTTTCTTATCCTGCCATAGTCTCTGCTTCCTTGGACTCTTACCCCATTCAGGGCTTGAGCTGCAATTTCTGACTTTTGGGGTGATGTTCAGCAGCTCAGAGATGTCCTTGTGTTGCCAATTAGGGTTTTTTAGGAGCTCAGCCTGCTTTTCTAGGGCTCAGCACAGCAATCTGACACAGGCAAGTTCCCTTTAAGGAAGGAGAGTGTGAGCAGAATCCAAGCTTCATTTCTTGAAGACCCTGCCTTAAGCATAAGCAGAGGAGATTGGCTTTAAACAAATGAACAATATGCAGAGTCTGCAGGAATAAGCACACAATGCACAGACTCATCTGCCAGAGGAGCCAACAGGAGGAGGAGATCCTTGTCTTTTGAAGGGCAAAAGTCAGGGTCAGGCTGGGCTCTGCCCTTGGAAATACAGGTCCTCCAAGCCCGGGTGACTCTGCCTGATGCTGTCAGCACGTGCTCAGGACCATCCATCTTAAAGAGGCTCCCTTGCCAAAAATCTCTCTTAAAATATAACTTAGCTCTGCATACAAGAGCTGTGTCACAGAGAGCTGGAAAAATCAGTTTCTACTCATTTAGCTGGGGAAGAGGTGAGCAGAGGGAAGAGCCTCAAAGTACCTTTTAATCTGTTTTCCTCCCTACTGAAACAGGCCACAAGTGCAAGGAGCCTTTCAGCTCTCCTGTCTTGGTTGTGTTCCCAGCAAACTCATCCCTCCATCCCCATGGGTCAGCCAACATGCATAAAAGGCAAGATGGAAATGAGGAGTTTGGTGATACATCAGTTTCATTACAAGAAAATCACACTTGGGAAAGGCCATTTCTACCTGGGCAACAGCAGGAACAAATTAGCACCAGGATGATCTCAAGGACCATCCTACTGCTGCAGCAGCCTTTTCACACGGGGATTTGCAGGTCCTCTGGGAAGCTGCATCTACCCCAGAAAGCTTATCAGACACCCCCATCATCACCGTGCTGGAGAAAGAGGTTGGGGAATAACCCAAGCACTTGGGGCTTGTGGCTGTAAGTGCAGGCATTGAGTTTCCTGTGTCCAAGGGCTTGTGGCAGATATCGAAGGAATTTTTCCACCTGGTTTACCCCAGGGAATCAGCTACAGCTGCAACACAACCTTGGGCTTTGCTTGAAAGAGATAACGAAGTTTAACATGGCTTAGCAAGGACTGGTGGGGTTTAGAAGCAATTTCACACTAAAGTCTGTCTCATCTTTCAGCCATACCAATTCCTGCTTCTATTAAAGACATCCCAGTCCATGAGGCCACATAGGCAGTGGTTTGGAGGCTGAATTCAGGACCACAGTCTAGGCATGAAATCCTTTGAGCTGCCATAGACACAAACTATATTCTAAGAAACAGACCAATTAAACTGTAAAAAAAATTCATTCTCTCACTAACCAGACAGGCCTCAGGCTTCATTACCAAGATGAAAAGTACTTCTCCTTCCAACATTATGTTCTTCTAATAGAACTGTTAGACAAATTCTGCAAATACTCAACTCCTAAACATCTGAGGAAAGTGTGTATTACTATTGAAAAGCAAAAGGCTCCAGGCCAAGCTTTTCTAGGAGTAGAGAATTTTGGCAGCAAACACACCACCCTACAAAAGAGCTCAAGTTACCAGAAAGCATTTGACCTAAAACTCAGGCCACTATAAAACAACATCCCATATTAGGGACCCAATGTGTACTCAGATGTGGAAAATTTGTTCTTTAGCTGTGATCCAAGACTGTCCCCTCTGCAGAGCAGCAGGTCTGTGGGGGTTAGGGAACACTGTGCCAGCATTGCTGCAAGGATTTTTTTCAAGTCAGTGTTAACAGCAACTCTGGTCCTGCAGCCAAGGGCCACTTCCCAGTGCCAGAGCCCTGTGAGGCTGCACAAAGCAGGAGAAGGGGGAAGCACTGCCAAAGCCTGACTGGCAATAACCTTAATGAGGGCCAATGAGCCCTCGGAGTGCTTCCAAGCATTAAAGCATTAGCTCTTGGAGGGGGCCAGCAAACTTCTATCAGATCCCAGACAAGGAGTTCAAGTGAAAAGTAGAGGTAGGCACAAAATTTGAGGGTTTGGCAGCAGCTGAATCCTCTGATCAGAAGCAGGCCATTATTTTTTAGTGTCAGCTGAGGGGCAGGCTAAGAGTAACCACAAGGCTCAGAAGGCAGTTCCTGAAAGGGAGAGATGAAAAGGGATTTTTTTTCCCCCCACTACATTCAAAAGCTGCCTACATTCATTCACTGAAGGCTCCACCTCTCATGATCATCTCATCCCATCACCGATTTTACTTGCTGCTCATTTTCTGACAGCACAAAAAATACACCCTAATTCTGTCACAAGCCTTTTCATCCCCTCCTGCTCAACTAGAACACAACTGAAAGCACAATTCACGAGTTCCAGCCTTGCCCTGTTTTGTCCCTTTGCAATTTCTCTTGTATTTTAGGCACACGAGCTCTAAAAGGATTCTTAAGATCCCTGCCCACAAGTCAGGGATCTCATTGCAGTGAATCCTTCAGTTCCAAAGCTCTGCTAGAAAAAAAAAAATCTGCCATAACACATATCCTAAACTACTCAATCCCATTTGTAGTCTGGCTTGTGCTCTGAAGAAGATAATAAGCCTAGATTTTTTTTTTTTTTTCCTGTTAGTTTTGAATCTAAATGCACTTTAGGGTTTACAAAAAAAATGGTAGCATTTTTGTGACTCTCTCACTCTTCCACTGGACCTACTGGAGTTGTCAAGTTGTGTGGGTGAAAATAGGGAGAAGATAATAAATTGCTTCTGCCCTTTCTGAGTAGGACTGTCACATATCTTCCCCCAAGCCTGCCAACAAATAAATACTCAGAAAAGGCTTTAGAATCACTCCATCTGTGAGGAGCAGAAAGAAGCAGCTGGGTGCACCAGGATGATGCACATGCACAGGGTCACAGCAGCTCAGAAGCTGCTGATTAAACCATAATTTCCTGTAAATTTGCAGCATCAATGCCTGGCACAAGAGGTGGAAACAGCAGGACACCTCCCTGCCAGCTTCAGTCCTGCAGCAAGAGACAAGGAAATAATGAAGCAAACAGAAATAAGGAAGTGAAAACTACTTTGCAAATGGAAACTGGAAGAGAAGGCTCTCTAAAACCTCATTAGCAATAAATTATGTCTCAAAGGAGGCATTAATAATTTCAGAAGGAAGGGTGCCTGAAGCACCAGCAGAGCAACTCTACAAGCATTTTTTCCTGCAGAACAGAATGTGCCATCCTAGTGCTGTAGGGAAGAAAGGATTCCTCAGCCTTGCTTGGGAAGATCAAGAGGGCTCCCAAGGAGAGGCTGAAACAAAAGGGCTTCCAAGGAGAGGTTTCCAAAGTGTGCCAAGGACAGCAACTCAGCTCCTTTCCAGGAGGATTTAGTTCTTCCTCACTGGCTATCACAGTGCTACAAACAAGTTACAGTAGAGAAATTCCAGAATACTTTGTTCTTTTTCTTAGCTGGAAAAAAAAAAAAAAGTGCTGTTAGATGAGGGATAAAGGAAAAGAAATTTTAAAGAGGACCAAACTGCTCTCTGCAGAGCTTCACCAGCTTCAATTCCAAATCCACTGGCAGACAGCACAGCAGCACTGCCAGATCAATCCTTCAGTGTTGTCATGCATTTTTATTCAGGACAAACCAGCAATGACCTTCCAGGGACTATAATCTGAAGCAGTGCCCTTTCCTGGCATCCCCATCCCGTATGGATTGCAGGATGGTGACACAATCTCTTTGCTCCTCCCACCCACCACCTTGCTTGCCTCCAGGAGTGCTCTTTGCCCCCCTCAGCTCAGGCAGCTCCACCTTCTCCCAAAGGATCTACGGGCGATATAAAAGAAGCTGTTGAAGGACAGAATAGATATGAGAGGAGACAAGGATCACAAAAGGGAATTCAGAGTTTTATTGAAAAAAAAAAAAAGCAATGTAGTGTTGAAACAAAAATCAAATTCAATTAGTTTTCCTCCGATTTGAATGGCTACAAAAATAGATTCTACCCAAATCCATAAAGCCAGTTAACAGTACCATAACAAACAAACCCCAAAATTACTCATTCAGATACCACATACAGCAGTCACAGGAATCTAGCATATATTACTTAATGTTTTTTTTTTCTTAAAGTAAATTTCTAAATGTTTCTGTTAAAACTGAAATACCCATAAGATTTTTTTAAAAAATGTACAAAAAATAATTGTTGGAGGTAACAGTGTGCGTTTATTAAAATCCTGCACCAAGGCAGTAAAACATTTATAATTTAAAACCCAGCCCAGTAGAAAAGAGAAATGTGCAAACATTTGAATGTTAGATGTACTCAGAGGCTTGTGGTGCATCAGACCTGGCATCCATTGCTGTGCTAAAGCAAGGTGGGCTCCAGCAGGAGAGGTCTCCAAGAGGCACTAGAGGGGAGGCAGAGGCAGAAGCACAGCACTGGGCTGCAGCTCCCCAGCCTGGCTGCTGGCAGCACTGGTGCCTTCTCCCCAGGGACGGTTTGCCCACTCAGTAGTGTTATGGCACTCGATCCAATGCCACGGTGTCCTCCGTGAGTTCTGGTCAATCTGCTGGAGGAGGGAAGAATGCAAAAGCCATTTGAAAAGGCAGGCAGTGAAAGCTAATCAGAGCTAACGAGCTGATACACTGAGATTGCTGCTGGGAGCTCTGGCCACCTCACCAGCTCACTCTGTGATAAGGGTCAGAGTCAGGAGCCTTCAAAGGATTTTTAGCTCTTCCTTTACCACTGGTGTAGCACATAAGGTGCTGAACAGTGCTCACACACCACTCAGCCAGCAGACTGCCACCCTGAAAATTCAGGTCAGAGTTCTGCACAAAGCACTGAAATAAGATGAAGCTTATTAAGAAATTTCATTCTACTTTCTGCTTCCTTTGGCTACTTCAGGTATCTTTAGCCTCACCTACCTCCTCCATTACTTAGTCCATGTCCTAGTGGACTTCTTGCCGAATTTTTTTCTGCATAGCTCCTGCAATGACACAAGAAGAGATTCCTTATTGCAGTGCAGTCTCATCCCATCCACTCCCAGACGCCGACAGAAGACCAGGATGAGGTAGTGTCCAGAGAAGTGCACAGAGCAGAGCATGTCAGGCAGTCACTGATCCTTCCACACCAGCAGTTACCAATCCCACCAAGCTTCCTGCATCCTGCAGACAGTAGTCCTTTGCCTACACTTGGTAGCCCCTGACCACTCTAGGGAGATGAGATAAAGCCCCGCAGCCGTGGTGGTAGCTCAGCTCTTGTACAGACAGAATGGGAGCAGAGACACTGAACACATCCAAGGGACAGTGTCAAGCCAGGATTAAAACTCCAGAGTCCCATCCTTGACCAACTTAGCCCGTGTGGCCTGCCCTTAGATCAGTATGGGTTGACACAAATAGAAACCTGTATGCGAATACTCAGAGTCCTGTTCCTTGGGGATGTGGGAATGTGATCTCTCCTGCTTTTCGGAGAGAAAGAGACAAAGCATTATTCATAAAAAATGTCAAGGGACAGCACGTGAAAGAGAACCTGCCTCTCATTTCTGCCCTTTGGTAGCTTGTGGGATGCACATGTGACCAGATTCCCGCAGAAGGATCCCTGCCATCAAGTGGGCATCCCCCTGCTGTCACCTCAAGCTGCCCTCCCCTGCCAGCCCCAGCCATCAGGAAGAGAAGTTGGTTGACACTCACCCTCTGCCCCCCTCCAGAGTACTCTGGATCTCCTTCAGCACTTCTGGAAAGCAGAGGGTTAAAGCAATGAGCCAAACCAGCGGGAATCTGCTTTCAGGCAGCTGCCTGACCACATTCCACCTCCCCACTGAACAGCCTCCAGAACCTGCCTCCCACAGCTCAGAGGTCAGTCCTTAGATCATCACTGCCTCTACAACCAGGTTTTTACTGGGCAGGCTGGCACACAGGACTGAAGCAGTCATTTGCCAGAGGAAATGTTGCCAATCCCTGCGTACCAGAGCCCCAAAGGAACTGTCTGTTCCAGCTGTCATCTTACACAAGTCCTATTGGAAATAAAGATCCTTCTCTTATCTCAGCAGGGAATGCAGCTCTGCAGAACAACCCCTGCCCGAGGGCATGGCTATCTGTCCAACCCCTCATTTCCAGGGATTCAAGAAAACCCAGCATTTCTACCAGTAATTACAGATCCCTGGGAACTGGAATCCACAAAATTCCCAGCAGCTTTCTTCTTTTCCCACCCAGAAAGGCACCTTCCCCCTCAGCAGCAAGACTTCATCTCACTCACTTTCGTCATTGAGTAAGGCATGTTCCATCAGCCTCCCAGACTTCCTTTCTAAAAAAGAGTAAGAAAACTTGTTTTAGCTAACACTATTTTCCCCTTTTCCTGAAATAAGTGCAGTTTTGCAGAAATGCACAATGGAACTGGATTTTCTCCCCACCTTAAGTACTTTTGGACTTCACTGAATGCTTCACATCTAATCCTTAAATTCCCTCACACACTGAACTGTTTCTTTCAGCAATACTAGTTTGGATAACAGAAGATCTGAAAAAGTTCAGACCTTTCCTCCAGCAAAAACTCTGTTCTATCCTTTAAGGGAATCTTCCACATGCAACTTACTCCAGAGCTATCAACTAAAATAGAGTCCAGGCAGGTCACAATGTTTCCCCCACATCCTTCCTTATTTTTCCCATTCTTAGGTAGAAAATATCAACTGCAGCAAGAGGAAAGACATTTTGAAGTTTACACACACCATGCTACCCTCAGTACACTTATTTTTTTTCACTTACCATCTTCTCCACAGTCACCTGGACTCATTCCTGGTCCCCTAAAAAAGGAAAGGAGACAAAAAACAATTACTGAAGAACAGGAGTGCAGAGAATTCCTGTGTGTTCTTGGCAGCTACAAGAGGCTCCAGTGCACATCAACTAGATGGTTTGCTGAGTGTGGGAAGGGCTTCACCACATGCTGGTGATGCAGAAGTCTGCAGGCACCACAAAACACTTCTAAATTCTTGGAATAAAATTCCTGTAGGATCTTTGTGAGTGTCAGATCTGCTGTTACTCACTGATGTTCCAAGAGGAGAGGAGGAACAGTGGATTTCCTTTCACAGAGCAACAGCTCAGCTTCAGCACTTGGGAGCAAGCAAAGCAACTCAGGGCTTTCTCTACATTTGTGACTCCAACTTAGGAATACCAGTTCCAAAGCTTCCTGCGCTGTCCTACTAAATGTTCTCCAAGTAGGAAAACCATCAGAGGGAAGGTTACATTTCCTGATGCCAGCCCCTCTATGGATGTTAACTTCAAAGGGGTTTTCTTTCCTCCCTACTCAGACACGGTCAGTGTGCAAGAGTGTTACAGACATTACCTGGATTTCCTTGCAGCATTCTCTGTGCCAGACTTGTGCACGTGGTTGTTGCTTGTCACTTCTGGCATGTCCACGATGCACCGGGGCTCCACCAACCATTTGGTGGAAAGGGAAAACCTCTCAAACTCCGAGGGCGAGATCAGATAGAAACCTACAGGGGATTGGGAATTTATAAGGGCAATTCTCAGCAAACAGTTCCAGAACCAAAGGTGATCCGTCTAAAAAAGAACAGATCTAGGTATGATCTGTGTCTGGCAGAAAGGGTTTGCTTTTCTTTCTATCTAAGCAAGGAGGGATCATTGAGGAAGATATTACCCCAGTTCCCCTCTGGTCAGCCTAGAGACTGTACAATTGAAGGTTATGCTGAGACATAATTCTGTTGTCCTGTGCTGACACTTGGGGAAAAGAGCACAGAAATATGCAGAAAATCAACTGGAAAGCAGTGATCCCTCCTCAGCAGCCACAGAATCCCAGTTTTGCAATGTGAGTGCTGAGACACAGGCAGTACAGGAGGCACAGTGGAGTCATTGCCCAGAGCCTGCTGCTGAAAGAGCCATTCACCCCACACCAGACAAGAGGAGGGTGGCCAGGTGGAAGTTATCTAAGGGGCACATCCAAGCTAAAAACCACTATTCACTCCTGTATTCATGAACAGTAATGGAACAAACTCACTCCTGCTTCTTCTAACTCATTTGTTGGTACCTGTTGGCAGCTGGTACTGCCCAGAAACACACAATGAACACATTTCTGAAACAGTCTCACACGTGTACACAGCCAGCTAAAAACCACTGAGCCGTTTCCCATTGTCTCAAACACACAACAAGAGGGATGATCTGGGAGAAGCCCACCTCACCTTGGCCATATTTGGTGAAGACACAGGATGCAATGCCGCTCACATCCTCCTTGCGGATGCAGGGGTAGCGGATCTGCAGCTTGAGGAAGGGCAGGGAGATGATCTGGATGTCTCCCAGGTTGGTCAGCACTGCCAGGTCGTTCTCGCTGTAATCGTCAGTCTTGCAGCTGCCAAAGTTGGCAACTGTCACCTTCCGAACCCTGCAGCCCTCCAGGGCTGTCAGCTTGAGCTTCAGTTTGGAGCTGACCTTGGGCAATGTGAAGACCTGTCACAGAAATGAGACACTGACACCTCTTCCTGCACAAAGGCAGCAGCAGCTCCCCAGGACATCTGCTGCTCCCTCCCTGAATAATGTTTCCATCCACAGGGAATACACACAGGTGTAACCAGAGCCAATCCCCTGCTCATGGCATAAGAACGAATCAGCCACAGGCACTGTGAAAATGTCTTTCTGTTCTGACATCAGTTTTACCCTTCAGGCTGTAACCACAATTCTCCCTCTTTTTTTTCAAAATTCTTCCCTATTTGGCTACAAATTAATACAGAAATAGAACAGGGTTTGAATTAGTGTGCAAAACAATAAACTTTTAAGCTACTTCACAAAAGTACCTACAAATTCCTGCTTCTGCACTAACAACAGAAATGCTCTTACTCAAAAGCAGAAGCAGCCATGTCCAAAGAGTATAATGTAATATAGGTAGAGAATTTCTATATTCAGCATGTGCGGTGCTATGCTGAACACCAGTTTTCCAGCACACACCTGATTTATGGACTGTACCAAACAGAAGTGCTGTCCCAGGGCTGTTCTTGAGGTACAGGAGAACAAGCACTCCCAAGAGCTCTCTCTCCACTGAGCAGTGCCCAGTGCCTTAGCAGATTTCATGTTTTCACACATTTATGTCACAGATGAGCAGAATAAACTTGTGCATGCTATCAGTTTGGGCTCTGATGCACAACCAGCCACCACCTTCACTAAAATTAAAAGGCTTTGTTGGAGACAGGGGTGAACTTCAGAGGAATGAGAGAAAAGTTTATACTAGAAAGTCAATCCCAGAACGGTTTGGGTTGGAAGGCACCTTAAAGATCACCTAGTTCTAGCCCCTGCCATGCACAGGGATACCTTTTCTGGTCAAAGCTCCATCCAACCTGACCTTAAACACTTTCAGGGACAGGGCATCCACAACTTCTCCAGGCAACCTGCTACGGTGCCTTATCACCCTCACAGTAAAGAAGTTCTTCCTATCTAATATCTAACCCAAACCTACAGTTTGAAGCTACTCCCCCCTGTTCTGTCACTCCAGGACCTTGTAAGTAGTCTCTATCCATGTTTCTTGTAGGCTCTTTCAGGTACCAGGGTGAAATTAAGTGACCCCAAACCTTCCCTTCTCCAGGCTGAACAATCCCAATTCTCTCAGCTTTTCCTTGCAGCAGAGCTGCTCTATCCCTCTAATGAACTTGGTGGCCTCCTCTGGACTCACTCCACCATCTCCATGTCCTTCCTGCACTGGATGCTGCGCTCAAAGTGGGGCCTCACCAAAGCAGTGTTCCATTAATCATTTCCAGAAAACAGATCAATTTACCATGACAGAAATGAGCACTTTGAATTTTAGCAGATTACACTGAAATCTCCCCAGAAAACAAAGTTTATGTTGACTGTTCATATTCCAATACCTGTCCTGCTGTACCAGCTACAGCCAAGTATCCACTGTATTTACACAGGTAGATCTTCTGGATCCCAAGTCTTGGATCATCACTGTAAGGATCGAAGGTACCAACCTAGGCAAGAGAACAGAGAGGGGCTGGTCTTTAACTGGGGCAGGAATCAGAACTCCCCAGGTTTTGAGGAAGTTTCTACCAGCAGCAGCTCTCTTACCTTGCGGAGGGGAGGCCATTCATCCTCCCCCAGGGTGTTCATGTTGTCATTGGGATCAGCATCCGTGAGGAACACTCTCACTGTGCTCAGCTTATAGAGAAGGTGCAAGCAGACACCAGAGGCATCCCAAAACCTCACTGTGCCGTCCTCATGGCTGGGGGAGAGGATACAGGAGCACACATCACACAGGAGAACAGCACATGGAGGGTAAAACAGAGGGGAAAATAAAGAACCAAAACAAAAAACCACAAGGAGACAGATTTTTGGCTTCTTGTGTATTTTTTGTGGGTTTTGTTTTTGTTTATGGTTGTTGGGTTTTTTTTAATTCAGGTGTTCTTGGTGATCTGACACCATTACACTAATTTAAGATTATGCCAAAAAAGACATGTAAAAGGCAAAAAGCTTAGCATATGGAAAGAAAAACTCATCCAGGAAAAAGAGAAAAAATAAACTAAAAAAAAATCAAGCTTTAATCTCAGTTCCCCAGGTGAAAATTTGCAACAGTCTTCCAACACAAGGGTAGAAGCTTCTAACGTGCTCCATCAAGAATGCAATCTGAGGAACAGACCACTGAAACTCTCAAAAGTGCTTTGAAAATAAAATGGCAGATTTTTATGCAATGAGACAACCTCTTGCTAGCTACTTTCAACTCTTAGCTAGATCTGTTCATGCTGATCAAAGCAGACAGGAGTCCAAGCTAACCTCTATTTTAAGATTCAAGGTGTAAGGTAGAGGGAAAATGCTTCAAAACATGGAAGATTAAGCTTCACTTTAACACTGCTGCCTTTGAAGCAGGCTGGATTAGCGCCTGCACTCCTACACACTTTGGGAGTAGGGGCAATGGATAACACATCAAAACTAAAAATCAGCCACTTTCTGGGTTATCTGTGGACATCATGACCTGTTTGCTCAGAAGCAGCAAAATAAATTGACTTTACAAAGCCAGCAGCACAGCTTTGAGAAGCTGCACTGTAAAGCTGCAGTCTCTGCCCCAAAAGATGAGCAGACTTTTGACTCCATGGGAAAATCTCAGTCAGCTGGAAAAGGGGAACTGGAACTGGCTCCCTGCTGGTTCCCAGGTGAGCACCTACCCTGTTAGCAGCAAGTCCCTCTGCGGAGGATCTGGAGCGATGTTGGTGCCACCATCAATCGGCCACGGCTACAAATACAGAAAGAGAAATGTGACTGCCTGGGCAGTGACAGTGTGCAGAGAACATACAGTCAGCAGGAGGGCATGAACTCCAGTGCAAGTAGCAGTGAAACAGTCCACGCTGTCAGCTTTTGTTGGGATTAGATGTTCCCATTCTGACACCAACTGTGCCTTTTAGAAGGCATTCTACACATTTCCCCGACAAGCTTCATGCTTTTACATGAGAACTTTGTTACCACCGCCAGCTGGGAACACTCAGGCTTCCCTCTGGCTTGTCAAAGCTTAAAAAATAGCACATTTTAATTCCCCAGTGTAGCTGTACTGCTTTGGGAAAAGGCCTCTCTCGATCCTGTTAAGAAGCAGGACAGTGTCTGCTGGGGCTGAACCCTCTGCAGATCGTCAGCAACACAGACCACCCACACCCTGGGCAGTCACACTGGCCTGAACACGTAGGAACACAGGGGGGACACACAGCTGCCATACCATACTGGAGTAGTGAATGTTCTGCTTGCTCCCAGCGCTGATAATCCGCTCCCAGAGCTTCAGTGGGATGTTGGAGACGTGGTGAGAGCAGGTGATGGCTGAGCAGTGCAGGGAGGCCAGGTATGGAGGGTGCACTGCTGGCCAGCCTGCACTTTTCAAGTCTATGACCACGAGCTCTTCTTCTGCCAGCACCACCAGGGCAGAGGGGTCATCAAACTCTGCAGAAATAACATTCATTGAGGCTGACAAAACCGACCAGCCAAGGCCAGTGCAAACAAGCTTCCTGTAAGGCTCTTTGAAAACTGTAATCACGCACCTCCGCATCAACATTTTTCTTGGAAAAAACCTTAAATGCTTCTGTGTTAACTGGGCCTTAAATGCTTCTATGTTAACTGGGAGTATGAGTGGATCTGAAGACACTGCAAATTTTACAAGACTTACAAAACGTACAAGATTTACTGCAAATTCGGGTTTCTTTGCATTACTCCTGGGGCTGTGACAGTGACTTTTAATAGATTCCATTGCAGAGTATAAAATTTTTTAACAACAATGACTGAATAACACAATGTTCACTCTTACTACTGTAACAGCCAGAATTCCAAAGATTTTACCTGCAGGTAATTAACAGCACGGGGTGGAAAGACATGTATACATCCCAGCAGTGACCCATTTAGTGCTGTGTTAGGACCACAGTCCATCCAGGCTAAGCTGCTTAAACATGCTAATGCCTTGGGTTCTGCAGAATGCTTCTCTGTTTGAACTGACAAGTATTTACAATTCAGGTCTTTTCATTTTTTCTTCTTCTCATATGTTGTGACACATCCTCTAGACTTTATTTTTAAAGACAGTACATCATCTAATAATTCTTATGTGTATTAGGAACAACTACACAGGAAATACGATCATGTAACTTCTGGTGACATCTGACACAAACAAGAATTATAACTCAAGTTATAATGGAAAATCTTGAGTGAAAAAAATTTAGTCTACAAGGACATTATTGCAGCAAGGTTGACGAGTCAGCCACAGCAGCAAACTGGTGGGGAAAACCAAAACCACAGACCAGTTCACAGCAGTGACAATTAACACAGCTACAGAAATCTGAGTGAATCTAAAGCTGGACTGGGGTTGATAAACAGTGAGCCATTAGCAAACTACCTAACAGCTTTTCCCTGACCTTCCCTCCTAAACTGTACTTTTACTTCCCTCCTTTACTTGGTTGATTACCTGGTATACACTTGCAAGAAGGCACATACCAACTCTGTTCACTCAGCAAAACTAAATTCAAGTAATTAGTACTGGGCATCACTAGTGAGACACCCCAAGTTTCACCTCTGACTAGGCCCAGCCACAATACATCACTAATTAGTTCAGTTTCATAATGAAAAAAAAAGTTTTCTAGTCACTTTTACTTTGCTTTCCTATGTACCATCATTTGCAGTTGCCCAGAGGACTTCACTATAAAACTAATAATATCATCCCTGTACTGTAACAGCCCTGCAGTTTATTGTTGCCAACCTTAGCCAAAAGTGCTCTGTTTGAACAATTTTTTTCCCTGCAAAAACACACATCATTTCTTGTGGCAAGAATCTATTTTAAGGCACAGTAAAATTTGTCACGATTGCCACACACTCACCCACCTAACTAAAAAAAAAATAGTAACAGGAAGGGCTGGCCTTTTTAAAAACTGTTTCCATAGCATATTCAGGGTAGTGAAAAGTCACCAGCTACGACCATGCTGCAATGCATAAGCTTTGTGCTTATTAAATTAATTGGCTTTGGTATACAATTAATACCCTGGTATTGTCATTGCAGGGAAGACTGCTTAAGGGCAAACAAGGCAAGCTATGTAGATCCACTAAGCTGAGGCAATCAGCCACAAGGAAGTTTGTCAACCACAGAAACCTTATTTTATTGTAAAAAACTTCCTCATCTGAGTGCAACAGTTTCAGTTTCCTGTAGCAGCTCCTGTCTGAACCCACCGGCAGCGGTGTTAACTGGATAATTCAATTCTTGGGAAGTAGAAATATAAAGCCTGTTTGTTGAGTTATTTCATCCTAAAGGATTTCTAATCATATCCAGAACCTGAACTCTAAGCAGTCCAACTCTGACCTAAAAAAGACTTCTTTCATCTTTAATGCTTTTGTTCCATCATCCAGAATCTCCACTCTGACAGTTTCATAGACAGTAAAAGGGTCTCCTTCCTTAACACCAAAAGGTATTGAACTCGAAGTATGAAACAGTAGCTCAAGTTTATCAGCACAGTGAGCTTGAAGATTTAGACCTGTAGGTTCTGCACACTTGGAAGATGCTTAGAAAGGGCAGTGTTGTGCAGGGAAAATCAGTAACAGACACATACAGGCACTTCTGCTCAGTTACACTTTTATTTCTCTGCTCTCTTTTCAGTGACCTGAGAGGGCCTGTTAAGATCTAAGAAGAGAGGCAAGAGGGAATCCAAAAGCTGTTTTTTTCTGCCTCTTTTCCCAAGACATTCCTCCCCTGGATCTGTGCTCTGCTTCCCAGAACAGGCCGGAGGGATCAACCGGCACCGACAGACCAGGATGTGCAGCTGTGGCTGTCACCACCCTCCCTGGCAGGACACAGGACAAATTGGTTGGAAACCAGTCCAGCAGGCAAATCAGAGACTAGAAAGCCTAAGAAGATCCAGTAACAGAAGATTTACTTACAAGCTCCTAAACAATTTGCAGTGTAGTCTGATCCTGCACATTTTTGGAGCTTGAAATAGCATTTTATACCCAGTTACTCCAGGTTAACCAGAAGCAAGAACTACACTAGCATTAAACAAACAGTTCTTGGGGAAAACCTTTACAGTTTAATGAAAAGGAAGAATGTAAAGTTACTGCAGAAGTAAGAGTAAGAAAGCTCTTCAACAGAAGCAAGAATCTGACAAGCTCTACACAATTCCAGGAATGAGAACTATTCAGTTTACATTCATGTTCACCAGCAGTAAGGAAATTAAGTTCTCCATATACTGACCCTTGGTTCTATGTCACCCTTTGCTGATTTGTTACCCAAAGCTCCAGACACAAATCCAGGTACTAATTAAAAGAAGCAATGTCTCAGTGGGAGTAAATTCTGGTTTTAATTATTAGCCTCCTTTGAAGTGCTATTTCCAAACAACAATATTCAGCTCCTCATTTCACGACCTGGTTACATCTAATGTCCAGCTTAAACAGATATAGGCTTAAAAGATCTTTTCTCATTAACAGAGTAGCCTAATTTTTTGAAGAATGTATGGCATTTGTAACCAGCCCTTTATTTACAGCAGTATTTTACATTTCACTTTTAAATGGGAGTCTTCCACAGCTCGACTCAATCTTAAGGGTCTTTGCCAAACGAAATGATTCTTTGATTCTCTGCTGAAGTCTCAGAAACTCCCCAAACAACTGACCTCCTTATCACATTTCATTATGCTATTTATACCAGGCAGATTCCCACACACGTCCACAGCTACCCTAATTCCTCAGTAATGCCCTTCCATCACATACCTGCAGCAGGAGCTGAACTGAAGATTATAAAGAAGTCTATCACCCGTGAGGTAAAGTCAAAGGCTGTTTGCTGGCTGCCGTGGATAACAGAGATACTGTGCCGGTCTCCATAGCTAGCCCGGGGCATTCCTCCTTGGAATATTATGTAAGGAAGCCTTAAGAGAAAGAAAGGGTTAAAGTGGTCTGTGCTGAAATAAGGAGCAAGAAAAAAATTAAAGAAATGCCAAAGAAAGTTTGACAACAAGTTCTTATAATGTTACTCTAAAGGGTTCATATGGCATTGCACACTGCACCCTTCCAACAGCTGAGATGGAAGGGATGCATCACAAACTCACCCATTTTTTGTTGTCTGCCAGTAGATCTTGGAGATGGCCTTGCAAGGAAAAGGACCTGAGAAAACAAGAGTTATTTGCTGCAGTTCAAGAACTGCATCTTTACATCAGAAGTTGCTGATTCTGCTTCAGCCAGGTCACTTTATCCTCCACCCCAAGGGGAGCCACCTAAATTAGTAGGAGCCAGCACCACCTCCCCAGACCAAGCCACATCAGACAAGTCTTCTGGGACACACTGACCACAGAACTCCACAGCAAAACACAGCTTAGGTTCAGGGGCAGCTCTAAGCCATGCTGCTGATGGCTACCAGGGAGTAGAAGTGCTGCTGGAGGAGCTGATTTAATAGAAAGGATTGCTAAAATCACAGCCATTCCTGAAACTAATATTAAGTGATAGAGCTTTAGAAGCTTCTTTGCACTCAAAAGGTGAGGTCATTCCCATTTGATGGTTTCCAGAAAATCAGAAGCTTCATTTAATCACTGCTCAGGTCAACAAAAAATACACTCAGCTCACTATTAATTACACAGGATCCAAGCAACTCCTGCTGAACAGGACACCAGCTAAAACAAAGAGCTGAATCACCAACACCCTTCTTCAAAAGGGGCACTAATACTGTCAGGACTTGCTCTCCATGTTGAGTAGAGATTTCAACAATGCAAAGAAGTTTCAAATCCAAGAGAAAATCTGGGCTGAAATCCCTTAGTCAAGGCTTACAAGCCATTCAAGAGGCACTTCTGCATTTTGCCATTAAACACTAGGGAGAATTGTGACTTGAATATCCTACACAAGCTCAGAATTAGTTTGGGTTTGGACAAATACACAACAGTTAAATCTCACTTACTGACCATAAGGCACAGTGTTTTCCAGAGGCTCTGACTGCCTGTTGTCACTGGATACTGGCCACTGGCTGTAACTTCCATCGTAGTGACAACTAATGAATTTACTGCCATCCCTCTGCCAGTAGAGGTTCTCCAGTTGCTGAAAAGAAAACCATACAAATGACTGCTCTCCAGAGAGCTCTTATCTCCCCAAAACAACCTGTTCTTACTAAAAAAGCAGCTTTGTCAGGCTCTCCCTGCACCTGATTTATCTTCAGTGAGAGCCCTTCCACCCTTCCTGCCCTACTGAACTGACTCTGGATTGAATCAGTACCTGGCTGCCCAGGAAATGGTGTGTTGCTTTGTTATTCTGCAGGTCCCAGAGGACAATCAAGCCCCTGCTGTATCCAATTAGGATCTGGTCAGGGTTCTTGGGATGCTCCTGAAGAGCTTCCACCAGTTCACAGGATCGTCTGTTGCAGTTATCTTCTGGTATCCTGCAGGAGCAGAAGAGAAAACCAAGAGAAGCTGATTCCAGGTACAACCTGAAAGGACTGTAATAAAAGGTGTAAGAATGAGAAATTAAGCAAGAAAGTTGAAACAGTTGATCCCACAAATCCTTCAAGCAGCAGAAATATCTCATGGGAGACATCACATCAGGCCTACCACATGGACATGCACCTAGTCCCATTTCTTCAAGGAAAGGCAAGGTTTACAATGAATTCCAGGACTGCATCCCAGGACTGTAAAGACAGTTTGAACCACACACCCTATTCTCTTAAGGAATAATGGTAAGATGGAAATGTCAGTAGAAGTGAAGTAGGACAGTTTTCAGCAACACTCAGCAGAGTGATAAGAACTTCATTTGAACAAAGCAGCACCAGATGTTCTGCCAGTGGTTGAAAAAATAAATGGGTAATTACAGCTAAAAAAATTTTTTTTTCTAAAACTAAACACAAAGGCTGGGGCACAAGGTTTGCAGATTCAGCCCAAGTGAACATGCTCTATCCTCCACAGTGGCAACACCAGGCTGGACCAGGACAGAAATTGTTACTCAACACACCAGGACCAAAAGTTACTTTCATGAGAGTCAGGCAGATATGGACAATGCTTAACACAACAGTGAGGCCCCAGTACATGATCTGGGGTGACATTTTAACAAAGGATGTGTCTGGTAATGGGATTCCACGTCTTGTTTGCTTACTCACTCACCGCTGCAGCACGGCCTCGGGGGTGATGGTCCTGTCCTCCAGCACTCGGAACGAGGGCAGCTCCACCACAAAGATGTTGCCACTCTCTGTGCCCAGGTACAGCACTTCCCGTGAGGAATGGGGAAGCACAGCTGTTACCTGGGTGGCACTTGGTGGAGAGCTGGGGATGCAAAGAGACTCTTGTTACTGAATTTGGGAGAGTTCACAACATAACAGGGAAATTTATCACTGTCATTTGTTTTGGAGGCATGATTTTTTTTAAGAAGGAAAAAACATCAGCTGACGCTCCTTGATTTTCCTCTTCGTGTCTTCAATCAGCTTTAAGACAAATTATGTCAGAAATTTTTGACAAGTGCATGGAGAAAGAACCAGACACCTTTTTTACAGAACCCTCTCTAAGTGTTCCTAAAAATAGCTCACCTAAAACTGGCAAGATGAAGTCAAACTAAAACCACAACAGCATTTCAATGTCTGACTTAAGGCATGGTTAGATTTACCTAACCTTAACAGCTCCTGTACTCACAGCAGTGAATGCACAATATTTTAAGATATGTCACCCTTTGCACTGGTTGAGCACATTTAAAAGCTGATCTCCCATGCCCTAGCCAGCTCTTGGTTTGTTTCCATGGATGTCTTTTCAATGGATTCAGAGGAGTGGCAGGCTGTAAGAACTGGACAGGCTCTAGCTTAAACAACAGCAGAATTTTCTGGCTGCTTATGCCCAGAGCAGCTCCAAGCCCCTGCTGTGCCTTACCCAGGTGGCCCTTTGAGGGTGAAGCGATGCTCCTCCCGCAGCTCGGACGTTCCTCCGTGCTGCTTCAGGCTCCAGAGGTGCAAGCTGTTATCATCCAGCAGTGTCACCAGCTGGCACTGCAAAAATCACACAACTTGCTTTTTTCAGAATGCCAGTATTAAATATAACACAGTAAATTTAGCAGTAGATTTGCTGCTGTTCATAATTCCCTGCTAAAACAGGACTGGGGAGCTGGTTCAGTTTTTTATGGCAGTGGACAAACACTGCAGCAATGGGATTTGGGGGGTGGAGAGAGGCAAGAAGTAGCCTAGAGGCTAAAAACCCTGTTATAAAGGCACAGGTTATCACTGAGGGGGATGACAAGGATTTAGGCTCCCAAAAAAGATCAGCCTGTGCTGTAAAGCCCAGCCATGCAGCTGCAGGCTGTATCTCACCTCCTCCTGGCTCAGCACAGGTTTGCTGAACACACCCCAGCTTTGGGTGGGGCTGATATACTCTGCTACACCACACTCCTCACATTCTTCATGTCCAACCTCATTCTGAGGGTTGTGTCAGAATCCTTTTATGAGCCCAGCCCTGCTGGCTGGATGTTCAAATTGAAGCATTTTACCTGCTGCAGCCACACCTGGTGCAACACTCCCCATGGGAGTTTCAGTTTATACCATTAGTTAAGCAAACAGACACCCAAAACCGCCTCAAGAATTAAATCCCTCTCATAAAGAGGCCACTTGTGCTACACTGGGGGCATCAGAGAACAACGTCTGCAACTAAGACACCAGTCTGGACTGTCAAGGGAAAGTGGTTAGACAGCCACCAGACATTTGGAAAATTCTGCTTTCCTATTTTTAGAGTGTGGCAATAACTGTTCAGCAATCCCCAGGAGCAACAGTCAATACCCCCAATCACAAAGGCAACAAACTTAACAGCAGATGAGGTTAGCAGTGCTGTTCTGAGCTCCTGAAAATAATTAAATCAGCTCAGCAGCAGCTCCTGTTCTATCTGTTGTGCAGAAGAAAGACTACTCAGTCATACTGAAAAAAATAGGGGCTGCAAAAGGAAAAGGAAATATTTGCTACTGCAGCAAATTGCCTGAACTGTCATGGCCTTATTACCATTCCCAGGATGTTACTGGAGATAAATGAGTAACAGTTATGAACAATAAAGCTACTCTTTAGTTTAAAGCTTCTCTTCTAGTTTTACTGAGCATCTCCACAGCAACAAGCACTGCTGAGAGCACAAAATACACTGGGATAAACATTCCCAACCAAACACTATTTGAATATACTTGGTAATAGGAGCCCAGATCCCCAGAATAAAATCAACACCTGTTTAGGAGAGATCTACCTAAGTCACAGAGGTACTGAAAATGCACTTACCTGATCAGGTATAAAGTGAATCTGCATTACAGTGTTGTTTTCTTCATGTAAACCCATGAACTCCACCCCAGGAGCACCATATCTGATGAGTTTGTTGAGGATCTACAGTATTTAAGGTGACCCACAGCTACAATTAATTGATAAGAAGCTTGCTAGCAAGCAAGACAAAAAGAGATTAGTTTGAAACCACATTTTACTGTTGGTGAGCTGGACTGCAAAGAATCAATGCAAATCTACTTTGCTTGTAAAATTTGCAGGCTGTGCTCACTGTGGAGAACAGGGAAGTTCACTTCTTCCTTCAGTATATGCAGAAGAGGTGCCTGGACCCGGTTTTTTCTCAGGGATGTTCAGTGCTTTCCCAGACATTACAATCCTGCTTAACTAATTTGTAACCAGGAGACAGATGGCTACTGCCTGCATGTGGAGTCCAGCCTCTGAGCACAAACAACACCAGCAGTGAATGATTAAGCTGGCAGAGACAGCACCAACTTTTCCTTTCTGGGCTGGGTGACATGCCTGTTTTACAGCTCATCTAACTGGTCTCTGTCATGAGAATCATCTCACACACACAAAAATAAGACTAGATGGCATTAGCTACAAAAAATAAATCACCACCTTCAATGTTTAGGTCTTTAATTCCTGGATGGTCAAAAACTCAGGAAGTAGAAAGCATTTCTGACTTCAGCTTTAACCTTTGAAATAGAATTGCTTTAGGAAAAAAAAAAAAAAGAAAAAGGAACCCTGCCCCAAATATTTAAACAACCCTGGAATTTACAATGTGAAGGACTGCTAAACTTAGGCTAGATCTAGTCTGACCTTCTGCACAGCAAGAGCAGAGTCTTGTTTAATATCTGCATCAGCTCAGCTTCTGTCACAGCTGTAGCCCAGCTCTTGGAAAGATAACCCCACACTGACCAGACCAAAATCACTCCAAACCCTCACAAACTGTTCCAGTGTTCCAGTAATCCTTGCTTGCAAATTCATACTTAATCTAACTTTTGAAGTGTCTTCAAAGCTGCAGTAATTCTGCTGAGGTTAGAGAACTCTCCCAGGGTGTTCAAAGGATACACCTTGATGGCTCCTGATCGTGTCCCAATGGCCATGAGACGGAGAAACGGGCTGTAGCCCAGGGCACTGGGCTGGTGGGGAAATCCATGCTCCACAGTCTGGGGGAGAGAAGGAAAAATCACGATCAGCAGCTTCTTTCATGGGCATCGTTGGGCAGAAATTCAACATGGCATGGCAGTCTGAGATACAGCACTTAATGGCAGCTTTTTCTGCTGAAAGGTGTTCAAACCTTTTTGATTTGCTGAACAACAGCCTAATGATGAATGTGTGCCAAGAATCCCTGGCTCCACAGCCAGGATATGCAGAAGTATAACAGAAATGAAAGAGAAATATTCTGGAAACAGTAGCCTGAGCAGCTCTTGATGTTAAGATTATAAATAACTCTGCATAAGCACAGCTTAGTCTGTCAATACAACACACTCCATCACTCCACATCAGCTGCACTGCTGTAAACCAACTGCTCAGCACAATTTCAAAGTCTGACACAAATACTGTGCGCTGTAAGACCAGCTTTATCTGCCAAATTCCACACAGGTCAGCCTTCTTGACCTCTTTTTGGTGACTGACATGAAGAAATGGTGCAAAGCAATGCAGAGCTATGAGTGAACATCAGCGCTCATCAAGGAAGCAAAACAGATTTCCTATGAGCAGCCAGGAAAACTAATGTAATCCATATCCATTTTCCAGAGGGAACAGGAGGAACACTGGAATTTAATGAGAGCAGGAGCCTGCTAGGCCACCTCAGAGTAATCCAAAGCCATTTGGGACTAAAAAGATGTCACTGTCACAGGGAGGAGTGTGGCTTGGCCTTGGTGGCTTCCCTGAAGTACAACATACAACTGCCCAGGAGAGATTTGGAGCATCTGTATACACCACACTGATGCATTTACACACCAGGGAATAATATCCTGCCATACTTACAGCATGCCACCAAGCTGCTTAGAAAACAGTTCAGTGAGGTTTTCAGAAGTGCTAATGCACAGCTCTTATCCTGGTTCAGGCAAAACCAGGATGCACCAACACACAGGTAAAGAGGACTGGTGTGTCCACAGATTAACCAGGAAAATTAAGAGGGATGCTTCCTGGAAAACACTGATCTTTAAAGGCCCAGCTTCTGGAAAATACCTTCTTCTAAGGCAAGCTGGCCAGCTACAGAATAGGAATTCATTACACTCACTACTGAAAAAAAAAAAAAGCAGAGAACTCTCCATCTGCGGCACTTGAACCTCACTCCCATCCTCATTTCCATCATGTCTGAAGCAAAGCTACCACATCACTTAAGTTTTATGCTTTATTCAGCCTAAAAGTACACCTGGACTTTTATTTCCTGCATAGTGATTTCCCAACTTAATCCCCTGCACGAGAATCAAATGGAGCTGGTTTCATTTCCGTGGTCAGGCCATAGCCCGAGGTGCCCCAGCTGCTGCAGAGCACTTTAATGTCCTGCTCAAAGACACAGCACAGGAGGATCCAGCTGACTCCAGAGTCTGCCAGTTTGCTTGGGTTTTACCTGTTTGATCACAATTCCTAAGCAAGAAAAGATCTCCCTCCTCTAAATACTGGGTACCCCAGCCTGAGGTTCTCTTAAGGGAAGATGAGCCTCTTTAGAAGATGAAACTGAAAATATTGGAGCATTTCCCAATTTTCTGCCTGCCAACTCATTAGGCTGGGCAAAAGAGTAGATAGTAATTTTTTTACCTTTTATAGGTAGTAAGCCAAGATTAATACTACAAGCTCCAAGACCACGGAGTTTACTTTCATTTTTGATACCTTAATCTCCAGCCTTAGCTCTTTATATTCTAAGAAGGTAATTTAAGTGTTAGGTTTGCATTATTAAAAACAAACTTTGAGAAGTCAATCTTTTTACTGTCACCCTTGAAGCTGCAGCTAATTTTTTGCATAGCTACATATATAAAACTTCCTAGAGATGGCTGTGAAGTTATGAATTTATGAATTTATCAATGGACTCAGAATTGAAACAGGGCAGTTTCCTAACACAGCATAGGCAAAGAGGAATTCCTCCGCACTGTGATAGCTACTGAGGCAACACAGAAAAGCTTCCTAATTGTCAAAGTTGTGGGAGTATTAAGCTATGGTGCAAAATTCTGGGAAGAAGATCCAAGGTAGCGTTATCTTAACAATAAATCAGACATTTAAATGAATCAGGTGTAGCACAGGCAATAAACACCATTCCACTCTCACCCAAAACAAAAGTGAGGAACTTGTTAGGGAGACACCAGTGTAACTCCCCGTGATGGTTTCAGTTTCAACTTGTTCACAGTCACTGCACTGTCATGTTATCAGCACAACCAGGTGCAATTTTCAGTGACACATCAATTAGAAACTGTGATTATTCTAAGATTTCATCCAGCCCAAAAGATAAAGCTTTAGCCACAACTCTCAGAAAACCATGACTTATACAATACTGTACTTCCAGTTAGGAAGCTGTCAACACCAGCCTTAATACTGGCCTAATTATATCCTGGGTTTGACGTGTTAATTTGTAAACACATTAGACAAGTCAATAAAAGCTTTAATTTTCAAGTATGAGACCTATGAACTGCACAACCAAGTGTGTATGATTCAGTCATAATAAAGGAGGGTGATTTTTTTCTCCTCCAGGTTTTCATTCAACCAAAAATGCGAAGCACCCCCCATTCCACAGACAAATTTGCAAAAGAGAAGTATCAGTAACAACCACAGTGTGCTACACGACTGCTCATGGAGACCAGGAAACGTTCTGAAGGTTTCTGGTAGCTCTGAATCTTCAACCAAGATGCCCCTAAGATGCAACAAAGATAAGTCTCTCTTATGTCATTTGTTTCCACAGCTGGGCAGTAAAGGCTTCAGGGTGGCTTTTGCTGCATTTGACACCACCAGGGTCAGGCATTCACATTCACTGTCCTGATTACCCAGATCTTTTCCGTGTACTTATTTGCACCCAGTTGTTAAATCACATCAAGCCAGCTTTGGGCTGCCCTCCCTCCCCTCGGCAGCTTTCATCGGCCAATCCTTTCACCTGCCCAGCAGGTAAACGCAGCAAGGGGGACAGAGGGGGGCAGGAGGCAGCAGAGGTTACAATGGAGCCTTTCAGCCGAGCTGAAATAAGAAACTGCAGTGCCCACAATGTGCCCTCCTTCTCAAAAGGGCCTTTGTTTCTATGGGGAAAGGTAGGAGCTTTTTCTCCTTCTCCACAGATTTGTCAGACGCAAGCAAGCCTGGTGTCAGCAGCACTGACAAAAATGCTTCGTGTCAGTCGTATTTACTGCAGGAAAAATGTGGCCAAACTGAACAGTTGTTCCCAGCCCACACTAAAGCTGTGCCGATGAAATTCAGCTCTGTCTTCCTCCTTTCACTTGTCTCGGCTTCTCCTCTCAGATTGTTTTATGACAGAGCAGAGACAAACCCAACCACAGGCAATACAAGCCCTGTCCCTTTGTTAATTCATCTTTTGAAGAAACAATGAAGTCTGTATGTGCTAACTCCACCTTGCTTAGACACTAATTCAGATTTAAGGTAAGGTCTCCATCACACCCATCAGCAAAGGGGCAGGAAGGCTGAAAACAGGGGAAAAATCATGAAGCCATAAATTAAATGCAATGCTCCTAGTTGGGTAACATTCAGCTGTAAGACAGGCTGGTTCACCTGTGTGTTACCCATCATCTAGTCTGACAATGCCAGCCTGAACATGTTTCCTCTGCAGGGCTTGGACTGAGCCAAAGGCATCCAAATACTACTTCCAAAAGCAGGATAAACTCAAAGAAGTAGACTGCCAAGTCCACATACCTTATCCTTCATTCTATCCACTGAGCTAAAAACAGATTCTTGCAACAGGTACACACAAGTATGGGAAGTTCTTACTCATACAGAGAAACAGATATGCAAAGCTAAGTGACTAGCAGAAGTTAGGAAGGTGTTTTTTGAAACAAACACAACTTTGAAGACAGTTTGAAGCTCTAGTCCAGTCATCAATCAGTCCTTTAAAACCATCTGGACCACCTCTTATGCAAAACAGAAATGCAAGAGAGAAGCAGTAAGAAGATCACAGCCTATTTATACCTGACAGAGTAAACAAACAAACAAAAATCCACCACCACCAATTAAACAGACTTTCTAAACTGAAGTCCATTCTAGGTCAGTGTCATCAAATACATTCCACTACACTAACACTAAATCTGTGAGGCATCATGCATTTATATTCAACTTCAGAGTAAAAATGAGGGCAGGAATCCCCAGCATCTTTAAGGTGCAGACCTTGCTTTAGTCATGGCCTGCATCACACACTGAAGAGGTGCAAATCCACCGTGCAGTTTCTCTGATCAGCAACTTTACAGGCCCACAAAATATTTCCCAAGCAGGTTCTTAACCAGAAGTCTTTCAAAGACCTCAAATAACAAGTGTTTAAAAACCTGCTTACCAGCACTAATGTGCTTGCTCTAATAGCACATTAGACCAGGACAGCCTTGGCACACAAAGCACTATGATTCTTGGCTCCTTGAAGCCACAACCTCCAACAGCTCAGAATTAAGGTCTGACTTTCCCAGATTTTCTGAGTCTACCCAGCTGTGAGTAGATGTTTATTGGATCAAAGGGTAGAAGCTTTCAAATGACCCATTATCTCTAGAAATACTGGAATGGGAGACACAAGTCTTGGGAGAAAAAAAAAAAAAACCCCTCACTTTTATGCAAGAAAAAAGTAGTGTAAAAGATTCTAGTATAATGTTCATTCCCTTCTGATTCTTATTAGAAAATAACAAGCTACTGTGGCTTAAAGGTGCAAATGAATTTTACAAGGCCTTTAATTACCAAGCTGTTAATGAGAGTAAACATTAGGAAGTGTCCAAAGTAGCTGTCTCCCTAGAAACAAGATGTCATATTTACCTTCAGGACTGAATCAAATGGAGTCACAAATCCTAATGTCAGCTTCTACTATATTTGAAAGTTTCCCTCTGCTGCAAAAGCTACCTCTTTCAACCCTGTTTTGCATTATCCAAATTAGTGTGTCTCTAGCAGGTAAACCTTAGCCAAACATTCTCCTAAGAGAAAGGCATATTCAAGGAAGAGCCATCCCTAAAATAGCAGAGTTTTTCCAAGGTATATATAATTTTAAATGCTTATAAGCAACTCTGACCCATCCCTGGGACATCTTTTCTCAAGCTGACATTGCATTTAGCCAGATGCAAACTCAAACCTGGTCTGCATTCACTGATTTTTCTACTGCATCTGCACTAGGATTTCCTGGTGGCAGCAGGCAGAAAGCAGACCCGAAGCACTCTTGAGTTCCTTTGTCTCCCCAGTGGCAGGGAGGTATGCATGGAATTGGTGTGCTTAGTACCAATTACATTAAATCATTTATCTCAAATATCCACAGTTCCACTTCAAGTATCCATCTACAGTACAATTACAATGAATCAAGGAGGTTATTTCCTAGGCTGATTTCATTTATCCATTACACTTTTCAGCAAAATTCCATTTAAACCTTAGAAACACAAAACCTACAAATATATTTCTGCTCCCCAAAGAAAGTGTAAGTAGCCATTAGCCTAGCCATGATTTAATACCAGGCATTTTCAAAGATAAAAGCATCATGCTCCTGGCCAGAGCTCAAAAGAAAAATGCCCAGAGTGTTGGATAGATAGCACAGCCATTGCAATTTCTTCTTCACAGGGGGAAGGAAAAAATCTAGAAACAGATTCAGACTAAGATAAGAGTAAATTCATTATTAATGGCCATTGTGCTGCCTAGGTGCTAGCACAGCCTTTTAAATGCACATTTAAAAGCAGGGGTACATTTGTAAATCCAAAGGATAATCAAGGACAAAGAACTCTGGCTTCAGCTGCATCACAAGCTGTGGCTTATGTGTATCTTTAGAAAAATGTTTATTTTCCTAACAAGGACTACCTATAACAGAAACAGTCCCAGCACATAGCAGGACAAGTGACAGACCAATCAGAAGACAGAAAAGATCTGTGAAGATCTCTTCTTTCAGCAAGTACCACTCAACAGCATTACAATATCCTTCCTCTTAAAAAAGGAGACAGAATTGAGAACATGCCCAAGACCTTAAAGGAAACTACTCAGGCACACTGGGGGAGAAAAAGGCAGAACTGAAAAAAAGAACAAACCAGCACCTCCACTAAATTTAACTTTTCCACCCACACTCAAGTGGTTTTTCCCTCCTTTTGGAGGATGCAGTGGCTCAGGACAGATTTGCCTTGAAGCCTGAGGAAAGCCCCGTACCTTGTTGAACTGGAAAAGGTCGCGCTTGAGCCTCTCTCGCACTGGATCGTGTCCGGGTCTTAAGAACCTTCTCATCTTCCTTGCTGTAGTATCTTGGCAACAAAAATCCTAACAAAATAGAAAAGAACATATAAACAAAAGCAGCCTGAGCAGAAAGCAGGCAGAAGTAGGTTATTTGTTTTGGTTTAGCAGGTAACAAATCAGCCAGAGCAGACTGAGACAACATCACTATCGAGTGACTAAAACCTGATACCAGTCTAGCACAGCTCTCTGGTGCAGCACTTCACAATTTATTTTCACATTGATAAAGCAAACTAGTACAGATAAAACAAGAGGATTCTAAAAAGGATTTTGCACTTGGCCACTTTGCAATCCCTGGAGTTGACCTTATCCAAAGAAAAGGCAAAACTGCAGCATTTGCATAAACATTCAGACAAACCCAACCTAAAAGCCAACTCCCAGGCTCAGGCATTATTGACTAGCATCAGTTTTCACCCCAGGTAACCCTCCAGCTATTGAGCCAAAGAGAGAAAGAATCCCATTTTCAGGTCTCTCCATGGGCGCAGCAGAAAGGGCGCTGTGCTGCCTGCAGGGGAGCTGCATTAATTATTAACTTGCTTTTGTAAAATATCAAGCCGAATTCCCTGCTCGAGGTGGGGGTAGGGAAGGGAATTTCGCACCTGCAATTCACTGCGCAGCCGAAGCACAAGGCAGTGTCCCAGTGCCTGGTCTCTCACAGCGACAGGAGGATCCAAGCAGGACAAATCAGACCTGACTGCCAGCCAGCAGTCACACGGGGGATCCCAGGCTCCAGCTTCCTACTGGCTGCAGCTCAGGAGGCTGTCACATCTCCCCTCTGCACAGGTACTAAGTGACAAGTGAACCCTGCCAACTCAAGAGCAAAGGCTTGAATTCACATCCTGACAACTTATTCTGGTGTTAGTGCTCCTGCCTACCCTGGCCACCTTTCACAGGCTGCAGTTTACAGACACTTCACTCAGTATTTTATTTTAATTTGCTGGACAGGGAGCAATTTGCCAGCTCTTTGTACATGACACACATGTGCAGTGGGGGCCAGAACGTCTGAGGTGCAATGAAGGCTCAGAATGGATATTATACATGGTCAGAAGATGTTCATACACACCTACAGCAAGGTGGGGAGCAGGGGGCCGACGTTGCATGAGAAAGAGAAGGACCAGGAGGACCAAAGAACCTGGCAAGTGAACAGAGGGGCTTGAATCCTTCAAACAGTGGAGCTGGACATGAGTGACTGAGGGGACAAGCTTTCACACCTGTAGAAATAGGAACAGCACAGCTGGAAACAGAGTGGCTGCCTCTGTGCTCCTGACAGCAACAATGGCCTTTGGATAATGACCTAAAGCAGCCACTCCTGAAGAGCTTGAGCTGTTTTTCAAAGAGTTCCAAGCAAGGCCTTGCACCAGCTGTGAAAGTCCAAAAGAAGGAAATGGTGTGATAAACAGGATGCTCCACAGGCATATTTTGAGAGCTCCCTTTAGAAACTCCCTGAGCTTGAACTTGTACCTCTTTGTTGCACTACTGCCCTTTTACCTTTCCTGCTCACACTCCAACATCTCCAGCCACCTGTGCAGCACTGGCCTGAGCTCACCAAAGGCCTGCAATGCAGCCCTGGTTCAGAGGACCAGAGGATCACAGGAGGATCAATCACCTGAGTCACGTAGTCCCTAGAATTACTAGGATCTACGTGACTGGAATATGTCACCTACGTGACATTCCAGTCCCCTAGAATCACTGGCAGCACCAACTTCCACAGAAAAGCTGGCTCTGAGCAGGGCAGCCACAGCTGTCGGTGTTTGTGGGCCACCAGCACACGCAGGGGTGAAGAATGTGCACAGAAACAAACATATGAGGACCTCAGAAAAGAGAGAGAGAATAAATGTGTAGTTTACTTGCAAAGTAAATTCTTCTACAATGATTTACCACCTCAACTGAAATTTCAAAAATAGTGTCAGATTGTAAGACTTCTTTTATGAGATATTCCTGACATATTTTCACAAAGCTACATTCGCTTTAAGTTAGCAGAAGTTACAGAGCAGTAACGAGGTGCTGTGCAATGGAAGGACAGCACACCATGCCCATGTATAACACACAACTTGCCCTGAGCCAGACAAGGAAAGGAAAGTGCCAAGGAGACGCACCCTTTCCCACTGTCAATCAATATCCTGGACCTGTTAAACGAGGCAAACCCACAGAGAAACTCTACTAATTACCCTCCCCACTTTGGAACAAAAGACCTCAGCTGTGCCAGCAGAGACATACTCAGTGTTAGGAGCAAAGAAGATGGGGCTTGTTTTGAGAGAGACACAACTTTACATTTTAAAACTTGCTAGAATGTTTTATCCTAAAATATTAATGGCATCCTGAAGCGTGCTCTCTGAGCCTGCTTATGCAAGAGCTCCAACATTCACACTCCAGCCCACAACAACTTGTTCAACAGGCTAAGAAGTGTAGTAGTTCTGAACTGAGCAGTAACTCACTTGAAGAACCATCACCCTAAAGGGCTGAGAGGATGAGAGAAGGCAAACTACAAAAGTCACCTCTCATAGACTGGTACCAGAGTTTCTTTCTGACCAAAGAACCTTTGAGTGTCACAGTATGGGAGAGGATGAGAGGACAAGCAGTTTTGAACAAAGGAAAAGAAGGAATAGCATCCACTGCAGCACAGGTTGTCCAAGAGTTATTATCACAAGTTTACAAGAATCTTATCAAAAAGAATTTTGGTTTTAGTACAATAAGCAAGTATCTCTTCCAATTCTAGAAATAGATTCCACAATCTGTATAATCTTATCTTCCAGATGCACATTTACATTTTCGCAGTTTAGTTTCTCTCCCACACACCTTTGGAGTCTTACATAAAACTCCAGCCCCATGTGCTCTGCAGTTGTCTGCCAGTCAGCATTTACAACCATCTGGTAACAGTTGTGGCTACCAGTAGCCAGAGAGGAATTCTCCAGTAGCCTCTGAAGCTATGCCAGGTCTGCATGTATCTAATGTTCTTATTTTCCAGGGAAACAATTCTTTAGGCTTTCAAAGACAAGTCTTTTACCAGAAACTATGTGCAACATTCTCTTCTTTTAAGATGCACTGAGGGCAGCTGTTTAGAGGCAACAATAGCCCAAGGCTGAGCCAACCCAAGTTTTGCTGGTACTCAAGACATGGACACCTGACAGCAGAGCTCAGAGTGCCCTGAACATCAAACTGCTCCTTCCTTCCTTACCTGAATGCTCAGCTAAATACAGTAAAGTCCCCTTTTTCACCTCATTGGATCAGATCCAGACACAAAGCAAAATCTCCTCACTATGGAAAGGCAATGAAAGCATGAGAGGCAAGACAATCCTGTTTCCAATCAGACGCTAAGGAGCAGTTTAACATCACAACCAGATTTCACTCTGTCTTCCTTGCTCAGCTCTATTAATTTCAGATGCCGTGAGACCTGGCATGTGAACCCATATTCAACAGAAACACAAATGCTCCTTCCCAGGAGCAGCATTAATTGTTCCTCACTGCTGAGTGTCACCAATCCAGAGCTCCACGTTTTCCTTTGGCTTCCTTGCTTCTGCACACAGCAATGCATCTTGATGCCTGTGCACAGCTTGCTGAGACACTCTCCATCATTTTCTCCATCAGCTTGGCACAGGCTGGCAGGGAACTATCATGTGCAGAAATTTGTTGCAATTTTTCCTTATGTCCTCTCATGAGAGTGGAATTTCCAGCCAAAATGTTGTAAGTCCCAATCACACAAGTTAATCCAGTCTTGCAAGAAGAGGAAGCCCAGGTCAGAAGTTTTTATTACGTAGACAGTATTAAGTGTGGATGCAGTCTCGAGTGAACCCCACAACAAAAACATACCCATAATGAGTTTATTTTGCTCACGTAGCAGAGTTGCAAGGTACCATCTGTATGCTTCCTTGGCAATCTTTACTCAGCTTGAACAGGTTTTCAACGGGATACAGTCCAAGAGCTTTCTTTTCAAAATGCCAGAAAGTATCTCAAGAACTCTTAAATCCTGCCTTGATTTAGGTTTCCTTCTCATTCCTTCCTCAGCACTCCTTCCTGCTTACAGGTCCTTAAAGGGAGAACATCTACCTATGCAGCTGATAACGCTTTATCAACCCTGCTAAAATAAAAAAGGCCTTATCGAGCAGCTTTGTTTGAACTCCAGGCAGTTGGTGCTGCTGTAACAAACCGTCACTCCCATGGCCTTGTCTGAACCAGGCTCTCTCCTGCACCCAGGAGTTTGCCTTGCTGCTGTTACCAACACAGCAGCAAGACAACAGAGGCTGGGTCAGCTGCACAGCAAAAAGCTCCCTTAAAAAAAGCTTCCTTAGCACCAGTGATCTCACACCAACAGAACTGAGCAAAGTATCACTTAAACACCACGTTTATCACATTTATCGATTACAGGTGCCATGACCCACTGTGAAAGGAGAAATTTAAGAACAATTTTAGCTTGAAATCAATGAAACAAGCCTGAGCTATTCTTTTAACTGTTCATCTCTACCACCCTGCTTGGCTGTGACACACTGTCAAGGCAGATACTAAAGAAGACAGCATAAGCCAAGCAGAACAGCTAAAGCAAGGGAAGGAGCAGTTGCAGTACACAGAGAAGTGTAAGACACCACCTTCTTTTCCCAGGAGAAGGAAGATGCTCTAACATTAATCTCAGTTTAATGAGACCATGCAGAGATCTCCCTTACACAACTGCTGAGCCACTGCTACCCCCCCACCACTTGCAGTTTCATAAACAGCAGTGTTCAGGTGCACCTCCATACAGTAGTCAGAGAGGAAAACCAAAATATTCTCTTAAAAGAATTTATTTCAGTGAGCCTGGAGAGGCAGACAGTGAAATGAACAACTGAACAGACTGTGGCAACACTATGTGCAGGTGGCTGCCCTCCCAAAACACAAACAATATTAAATAAAGTATCAGACATCGATTATCCAGGAACACTTTGAAAATAATTGAGAACTAATCACACAACTCAGGCAAGTTCATGTACTGCCAACAGCCTTGTACTTGGATTTACCAGGAACCGCCCACCTGCAATGAATTTGGGAATTGTGCAAACCTTGTGTGTCATTAGGACTCCTATTGTGTTCTCCTTGTCATGGGGGCATGACAACACAAAGTTTCAAAATGCTACAGCAGAACAAAGTCTTTGCACTGAACAACATTATTGCCCATGATGCAAAACCTTTTGTAGGCTTTGCTAAGGAGTGTGAATCAAACAGAAAAGTGGCTTGTAACTTTGGAGCAGCACTTTACAAACAGTGGGTCGATGGAGCAAATCACTAAAGCATTTGCTTCATAAAGCAACACAAAGAGATCCAGCTATGAGAAATGTTTATATAAGAATTGGAGTTTCACACAATTTCTGCATAGAAACCAAACCAGTGCCTCCTTTGGTATTTTAGAGAAAGATGAATGTACTGGGAGTATCACATACTCTTACTGCCAAGTATGAACTGCAAGACATACGTTTCAAACCTCCCTTGCTCTTTGACATTTCTCAAGCTTCTGTGTCAGCCAAGAAAAGACACACCTCTTCCATAAGCAATTCCCAGGAATAATTATGTTACCATACCAGAAGGCCACTGGAAGATAAAGGGCTCTCTACTGGTTTAACTCCTCCAGTACTTCTCTTCGGTCAGCTGTTATAGCAGATACAATTTGTTCAAAACCAAATAAAAGACATTCCTCAGCACAATTCTATGAAGATGTTTGAGAATTCTTCTCCCTCTCCAATACCATGAAGTGTATAGAGCCCCTTGACAGGTTACAAGCAGCACTGAGCAGGATTAGGGACTGCTCACTACCAGCACGGATCATCCTCATCTCCATGGGCCAGTCTATCCCTACAAGGAACGTGCCAGGATGCATGGAGGAGCCTTGGGACGTACCAGCACTTTGCATTCCACTTGCCCAGAAGCACCAGCTTCCCGAGTCAAAGCTAAGATCACCAGGCAGCTGCTATGGGCACACAGCTTCAGCTGGGACTTGGTAAAGCCAGATATTCCAGTTGACTGAAATGCTCTCAGATGACTACAAAGAGCAGCATTCACCATCAAGTAAGACATGACAATGGACAACTTTTACTTCCACCACCTCAGTGGAGTTGTCCCCCTGTCCTGTCACTATCCCCACACCAACACACGGCTTTGTGCCACTGGCTGCAGAAACACAGACCCAGGAGCCTGATTCAACTGCTCTACACCATCAACAAAAGTAAACGCAAACAGGCAAAGCTTTCTCCAACACCAAAGTTAAGCCTCAACTCCAGGAGGGGAGATACCAGCAAGAGCCTGTTCCCATGCCACACTGAAGGGCGACCTCAGACAAAGGCTGAACAACTTCCTTCACCGGTTTATTACACCTGTTTGCTGCCTGCTGGAAGTAACACGCTCCTTCATTCAGCAAGTTCTCACAACTTTGGGGAGGGGAAAGAAAAACCACTAATAGTGACAAGATGCATTTAATATGGGCATAGGAAAAAAAAAAGAAAAAGAGAGAGAGAGAAAAAAAATGCTAACAGAATACTATGGGCATAGGAAAAAAAAAAAGAAAAAGAGAGAGAGAGAGAAAAAAAAATGCTAACAGAATATCCCAAGTGAGTCAAAGTCACTGCAGTTCCTGTTCTTGTCTTCTCCAAGACCCGCTGCCTGGAGCCAGCGGCAGCACTGGAGACTGGCGGGCCGGGCTGCGGGCAGGGGCATCTCCGGCAGGAGCGCTGCCCGCAGCCCCCGCGGGGGCTCCGCGCCCCGGGAGCGGCCCCGGCCCGGACCCGCTGGAGGGCCCGGCAGGAAGTCCCGGAGCGGCCAGTGCCACCACCTCCCCCGGGGAATCCCGGGATGCGGTACCCGCGGGGCTGCGCGCTCCGGCCGGGACAGGCGCAGCGCAGCGAGCCCGGCAGCGGACACAACAGCAAACAAAACGCCAAGAGCCCTCAGCGCCGCGGCTGCAAGTTCCACGGGGAGACACTGCCGGAGTCCCCGGGTGCGCCGGGGCTTCAGGTGTGAGCAGCCACGACACGGCCGGCTCAGGCAGCGCGGAGCCCGGGCACCGGCGAAGTGAACCCCTTCGGGGGCGAGGGCACCGGCGAGCACCTGCCGGCCCCGCCGCGCAGCCCAGCACGGGCGGGCATGGCGGGGGCCGCCCCGGCGAGCTCTGCCGGGGCCGTGCCGGCCGGACCCCCCGCCGGGACCCCTCCGGGAGCCCCTCCCGCCTCCCCGCGCGGCCCTAGCGAGCGGCGCTCACCTGCGGGGGCTGGAGCCGGGCCGCCCCGGCCGCGCTCCGCTCCGCGCCCGCTCCCCCTCAGCTGCGCGGCGGCGGCGGCCTCGCTCCGCGGGCACCTCCGGGCGGGGCGCGGCGGGGCGGGGCCTGGGGCAGGACCACCCAATGGGCGGGGCCCTGGTATCCAAATTGCATGTGCGGGCGTGGCTCCGCATGCAAATAAGGTCGGGTGGCGGCTCCGCCTCCCTTTCAGCCAGCGCACTCATGAATAATTCAGCAGCGCGCTCGCTGTAGGGGGCGGGGCCTGGGGCGGGACCACCCTATGGGCGGGGCCCTGAGATCCAAATTGCATGTGCGGGCGTGGCCCCGCATGCAAATGAGGTCGGGTGGCTGCTCCGCCTCCCTTTCGGCCAGCGCACTCATGAATAATTCAGCAGCGCGCTCGCTGTAGCCAATCAGGGAGCGGCACCGCACGGCTCAGGGAGCGCGGGCGCCCGGCACCGGGAAAAGGCCGGGAAAGGCGGCCCAGGAAAGGGCGGCGGGGAAAGCCGGGGCCGGAGTTCAGGGCCCCTCCTCCCGGCTCCAGCCCCGCGAGGGAGCTCGCAACTTTCACAGCCTTGCCTGTGAAAATAGGCAGAATTTGCAAAAAGTCGAAGCCTTCGCTGGAGAGAGGAATACGAAGTCCCACCGCACAGCCACCCCGTGTCCTGCTGCAGGGAACAGCAGATGGACAAGGAAGCTGTAAAGGGCAATGGCAGGTGAAGGTCTGCCCACTCTGCATCCACGCAAAAGCTTGAAATTAGCTCTGACAAGGGTCCAGTAACAGTATTTCACCCACTTTTCCAAAAGTGATGTTTTTCAATTAAATATTCAGTTCTCTCATCTTCTTGCAATGCTCAGCCGATCTGCATCACAGGCCAAAATGGAGCAGTGGTATCAGTCTGGATCATGCTCCTGTTCTGGGGTGGGTAAAGGCACCATCAGATGTTACAGTGCTGAGCAAGGCAGCCACAGTTTCTCAATCCTCCCTGCAGTGGTTATTAAATTGTAATTGTCTTGTGCTGAATCAGGGAGTCTCTGCCCCAGTGAAACTCACTGGGTGGCTCTCGTAGAGTTCATCGATACAATTCCACCTTGGCATACAGAGATGAGACTGATTGAAATCAACAGGAGTGAGTTTGACCTAATTCCAGGACAAACACGAGCCTTGCGGGCCAGGCCGGAGTTCTCCTGGCTGTGCCTGTTCTTAGAAACTCCCTTCCCACTGCCTTAATCTGTAAAACAGTCTGGGAGAATGCTGAGGGCAGCTGGGAATGCCAACCCCGGCTTTAGCGAAAACTATCAGAGCCGAAGCCGTGCTGGAAGGAGGAAGAGGAAGGGGAGGGAGCGTGGGAGGAGCCGCCAGACCCCTCACCTCAGGAGAGCCCCGCCGACTTCCAGCATCTGATAACTGGGGCGTGTGTGTGAAACAGGAGCCGGCCCCGGCACCCTGGGCTACGATACCTGGCCACGCAGGAGGAAGATGAACGAGGAAGAGGAGTCGTGTGCCGCCAGGAACTGCACGCGGATGTAGGGACACCTCCAGGCTCTGAGTCACGCTGCCCTCCCCGGGAACAGGGCAGCGGCTGCAGCAAGCACAGACGGCGTAGGAGCAGGGTTACCAGGGCTACGCAGCCACAGGGCTGCATGACCTTGAGCAGGCATTCACCAGCTGCTGCTGCTGCTCCGGTCCCAGTAGCCTCCACAATCTCCCTCTGTACAACTTAACATTTCTAGGGGAATTAAGAAACACACCAAGGAGCCTGCATGCTTGGAAAAGGATTTTTTTTTAATTGCTTAGCCTTCTCCACATCTCCAAAAGGAATTTTTAAAAAATACAAAATAAAACACATCTAAACCAGTTGCTATTACAGTTCTGAAAACTTTTGATATCAAACACAGCCATGCTTAGCTCACTTCCACCCACTGAGCAGACCTTCTGGCACCTGGGACTTCTGGCATAGAGGCTAAAGCAAATTTAGTACCTAGATATCCTGGTGGAGAGGAGATTGGAAAGCTCATGAGGAATCTGTAGCTTTTTTCTTTACTCAGGGACCTCCCACGTGCAAGAGAAATAACAAAGATCCACAGCCAGGAAAGAGGATGTTGGGCTGAAAGAAAAGGGCTGCAGCCCAGCCCTGGTGAGATGCCAGATGCAGTGTGCTGATAGTGGTGGTCAAGTTTTAGCATGGCTTAACACCGTGTGGCCAAAATGCATCTCAGCACAGCTGCTGCAGGAGGCCAAGCTGCCATCTGCAATGCTCTGGGGCTTTCTGCGGTCTCTGGCTGATGAAATTGTGTTCAAGGCACAGTTTCTTGCTCTCGAGTGTCTGGAAACTTTCCTCCAGGTGACTGAGTTTATGGCTGTGCCCTTTTCAGACCAGAATCTGATTTGATGGTTGCTGGCACAGATGAATGACAGAGGCTCAGGCCACCAGCACTGATCAGCTTATTCTGTCCCTGATTGACCTCAGTGACACTCCAGCCATTCCATTGGTGTAGCATAGTGGTTCTTTACATGTGACAAAAGGATCACCAGCAAAGTGTCTTCTAACTGTCCACAGTCAGCCGAAGATGACTCAGGAAAGGCAGGCTGGTGGTCCATGAGGTGAGAAAGCTGGAGAGCCAGTGGCTTCAAGAACAAAGCAGTGTGTACTCCAGCCCAGAAAAGCCCAGCTAAGCCAAACAGACTTGTGTGCTGTAAATTACACATTATGCCTGAGCCATCTGGGTGGGTGAAATCTGTAACATCCAATAAAGTGGCCAACTTCCCAAAGTTCCAATTATCACAGGCTGTTTTCTGTAATATTTCATTAATCAGGAAAACAACTCCTGAGTAAAGCTCTTCCCTTTATCCTATCCCATTTCTGCAAGTGACAGCAACTTCACTGATTAACATCAACGGGCAGCTTGAACTCCTTCAGTGAATAGAAGGTGATTTCTCCATGTTCCACCAGCGCAAAGACCAGCGGGACGTCCCCACTCAGATACGTCACCTGCTTCAAAGCCCGCAGGGAGGGGATCTGCTCATCAAAGCTACAAAGAGAAAAAAACATCCTGTTTGTTCTCCAAGCAAGAGGAACACAGAGGCAAATCTGTCCTGGCCGGCCATCACAACAGCTCCCTTTGGCCTGAGATGCTGGTAGTGATTCTCCCCACCCACTGCAGTCCACCAGGAGGCTGCCAGCCCTGAGAGTGAGCACCCAGCATGCCTGGAACTGGGAGCTGTTGAATCCTTTGCCAAAAACAAAGGTAACTGCAGACTGCTCCACGCTGTGCCCATTAGATGCAGCTCACAGGGATACTGGCAAATGGTCAATCCACTGCAATCTTAATACCTTTGTGCTGGGAAGATCTTTAGGTTGCTGGGATCAACATCTGACCTGCTTTTCCCTCCTTTTAATTCTGCAGAGTCTTTTTGCTCATCAATGAAAATATTTAGGCAACAAGGATCATCCTACTGACTCATGACATACCTTGGTAAAACTGCATTACCACCTTCCTTGCTCTGTCTACTACAGCTGCAGAGAGCAGAGGGACAGTTTTAGTAAAGCAAAATGAGAAAAGGCAGGAACTGAACTTTGTACCTAGCTACAGAGTTTCAGGTTCTGGATCCACAAGAAAGGGGACACCTACCCTCTCTTCTTAGTGATTTTAACATTACACTTGACAAAAATACTGAACCCTCCCCTTCTGGGGAGGTTAATCTCTGCAGAAATCCACAGTGATCTGCACTGACTGAGGATTCAGCTCCCGTAGCATTGGGTTCTACCTGAATTCCACAAGCATTGCATAAAAGTTGTGGCTTCTTTCTCTTGACTCCCAGTGATAGTCAGACATGAGCAGATGACCAAATAGTGTGGGTTGAATGCAAGGGCAGGGGGAAGCTGGGGAACTGTCGGCCACAGCCTCCAACAAAGGATGAGGAACTGAAAGAAAAAAACTTCCTGGGCAGGACCACCATCAGAGACACTCTGATGATCTGTAAAGCTCACAAGATGCTGGGCCATTTACAGATCATTATGACTTCGTTTCCACAACAACTGCAAAGTTTCACAAACAGCACAAGACTCGAAGGTACCTCCGAACACACATCCTGACATGGGGCTTCCCAGGGTTTGTCTTCTTAAACTTGGACACAGCGTCAGCTTGATACACGTTGAAGTCTATCTTCATGGCCTCTGGGTCCTCCTGCAGCCTGCAGGGGAACACATCCACAATATGGGATCAGAACACTGCAGGGTATGGGTACAGCAGAGAAAAGAGGGAGCAAAAATTCCCTTTAGTTTGGGTCTAGTTTTGACTGGTTTGGGTCCCTTGAAAGTATTCACTCCTCAAAGGACTGACCCTGCAACTGTACTAATTACTTTCCAGAGCTTTCCTGTGGTCAGACCAGAGCAAGATCCTGGCTCACAACTACCCCATGCCCTCACAAGAAGCAGCACTAACAAAGACAGGAGCAAAGCACTGCAGGAACTGCTCACAAGCACCACACAGACTCTGAGGCAGGAGCAGAACCCAAAGTCCCAAAGCCAAGGTTTCATAACCACTGAAGCAGGGATGGCAGCACACTCCAGGGATGAGGCACAGGTGAAACCCAACCAAACCTCTGGCTGGGGTGCAGAGAGGGAAAAGCAGGATAAGAGAGGAACCCTGCTGCCTGGAAAGCCCTGGCTCTGTTGCTGCAGGACCTGCTACTTCATGGAAATGCCACCCCCTCACTAGAGATGCTAGGGGTCATGGAGCAGAGCACTGGGTTCTCTTGGCACCCTGGATGTGTGGTAGCTCCCAAACTGCTGCTGGGAGCACCTCACAGACCTCACAAGCAGGGACAGTCACAAGACACTCCTTCTCCCCAACAGCTCCAAGCTGACTGGCTGGATACTAACCAGGAGGCTCCATCCAGGATGTGGGAGGGCTGCAGCACACTGATCTGCTGGAGGAGCGCAGCTGGAGGGAGAAGGAACGGGAAAGGATCAGACCAGCAATTTCCCTCCCAGGGCACTCCAAGCACTCCACACCACCCACGAGCCTTCCTCCTCTGACAATGGCTGGCAGCTCCACAGTCACCACTG